GTAGTATGGGTCACCTTAAAGTGATCTGATGTTGTACAGAACTCACTGCTGAGTTAAGCATGGTTAGATCATACAGAAGTAGTATGGGTCACCTTAAAGTGATCTGATGTTGTACAGAACTCACTGCTGAGTTAAGCATGGTTAGATCATACAGAAGTAGTATGGGTCACCTTAAAGTGATCTGATGTTGTACAGAACTCACTGCTGAGTTAAGCATGGTTAGATCATACAGAAGTAGTATGGGTCACCTTAAAGTGATCTGATGTTGTACAGAACTCACTGCTGAGTTAAGCATGGTTAGATCATACAGAAGTAGTATGGGTCACCTTAAAGTGATCTGATGTTGTACAGAACTCACTGCTGAGTTAAGCATGGTTAGATCATACAGAAGTAGTATGGGTCACCTTAAAGTGACCTGATGTTGTACAGAACTCACTGCTGAGTTAAGCATGATTAGATCATACAGAAGTAGTATGGGTCACCTTAAAGTGATCTGATGTTGTACAGAACTCACTGCGTTAAGTATGGTTAGATCATACAGAAGTAGTATGGGTCACCTTAAAGTGATCTGATGTTGTACAGAACTCACTGTTGAGTTAAGCATGATTAGATCATACAGAAGTAGTATGGGTCACCTTAAAGTGATCTGATGTTGTACAGAACTCACTGCTGAGTAAAGTATGGTTAGATCATACAGAAGTAGTATGGGTCACCTTAAAGTGATCTGATATTGTACAGAACTCACTGTTGAGTTAAGCATGTTTAGATCACGCAGAGGTAGTACGTGTTCTTGAAAGTTGGTTATCTTAAAGTGATCTGATGTTGTACAGAACTTACTGCTGAGTTAAGCATGGTTAGATCACGCAGAAGTAGTATATGTTCTTGAATGCGGGCTACGTTAAACCAAAGAAAGATAAACTACGATATATATAAAACAAAACGTCACCTGCAGTGGGTGTCATAGACACTGTAAACGGTTGTCCTTTGACTGGCGACGGTTTTAAGATAAGATTCATTTTATTATTCAAAATAACTTTTCCTCCTTTGCTGTCAAGAGCGGTGAACATGACCGGCTGAGTGGACGCGACTGTTTTTGTGATGAGAACAACTAAACCTTGCTTGATTTTGAAACCAGATGCTGGGTTATGATCGCTGGACTTTAGAATGACTTCAGAGCCAGCTCTATTGAGTAGTTTCAGTCCAATGTAATATCTGGGCCCGCCTGATGCTGAACAACGAAAAACATCATGGATTTAAAAAAAGTAAAATTAAATAAAGATATAGACCCATTGCTGTTGACCACAATACGAGCTTAAGTTTGACATCGGGAGGACAAGTTGAAATGAAGTACCATCAGAATATGGAATAAACAACTCTAGTTTCTTTCGTTATACATGGGTGCGCGGAAATACCAGATTTATTTCGTGTGTTGAACATGATATCTCAAGAGTGAGCTCAGTGAACGAGTGAGATATCATGTTCAACACGAGAAATAAATCTGGTATTTCCAAGCATTCATGTATTTTTCTGTTTATTATATAAAGGACAGTCTTTGAAAAACGATAATTTTTACAGAAAAACGATAATTGAAAAGTGATAATTTTCACAACATGTGAAGCGAGTGGCTTTAGACATGATAAAACACGACCTGCGAGTTTTTTAAATGGCTTCAAAAACGTTTGCATAATAAGTCAAATCTTTATATAAAAATCTTTATATAGTTTGCATAACAATGGTCTTTTGTTAAAGTGTTCTTTAGCTGGTATAAAGACGTATGCACGTGACTAATTTCTTACTCAAGATTGGATAATTGCTTCATGAATTATTAATGAGTTTTTGAAGCCGTTTAATAAACTCGCAGATCGTGTTTTATTATGTCTAAAGCCACTCGCGCTGCGCGCTCGTGTCTTTAAACATAAAAAAACACTCCTACGCGTGCTTTAAATAGTACATAAAGCACTATACTTTATATAATAAATGTGATATGCAATTTCTTAATGTTTACTGGTCAGTAGGTGCAAGGGGTCAGTATAATTACAATGGGTAAGTATGTGTAATGGGTCATTCCTTAAAGGTCTGTGTCAGTGTGTGCCAATAATAAGAAAGTTTTGGATTGATACAACTACCTGAAAAATACAAGGAGAACTTCGACGTTTCGAGCGACAGCCCTTGGTCGGAAAGTTGGATCATTCCTTAATCTATAGTCACATTGGTGAATGTTACATGAAGTACGTACCTTGAGCATTTTGAACAGTGATTTTCATTGGCTCTCCTTTCACAGTACTCGGAGTTAAAGTGAGGTGAGCCTTCCCGTTCAGGAGCACAGCTTTTCCGTGAATATCACTGGCTGAGAATCCCACAGGTGTCACGCTATTGGTCAGTTTTGTTATGACGACAATAAAACCTTTCTTGACAGCAAATCCTTGCTTGGGGACGCCATCTGTACATTTTATAAATATGTCTGAACCGGCCTTGTTCAGCACTTTTAAGACGAAGTAAAATTGGGAGGTTTCTAGAAGAGAAAAGACAAATGTAGACATATGTTCTATGCTGCATTAAGCTTACAAGAGTGGTCGATCCATTTTTCACATCTGTGCCCAGAGTTCAATTCCTGCAATATGCATTTGTCTGATTATAATTTCACCTCAGTCACATGTGAGAAGAGTGCTTCCAGTTTGACTCTTCCAAACACAGCAGGTTTTCTCCTTGTATTCTGGTTTCCTCCTGTAGTAACACTGGACCAAAAGAAGTTGATTCTTACTGGACCTAAACAGCGAACAGTTCGGTTCAGAGAAAAAGCACGGCAAGTTACCTGTTGAGATCTGACCAGGCTTGGTTGTAGCAAATATGGTGAATTTATGTCCTTTAACACTCGAAGCTGTCAATGTTAGCGACTTCTTTCCATTGAGGTATATAAGTTGACCAGTCATAACATCCTTCGCCGTGAAAGTGACCTTCGCCGCTCCGCTAAATTGTTTGACAAAATCTAACATGACTCCTTTGATTATTGTTAAGCCTTTCGGCGGCATCTTATCGCTCGACATTAACACAATGTCCCTGCCAGCTTGGTTAGAAATTTTGATGTCGATGAAAGTTTTACCATCTGACGGTTGAGACAAACCTACATAATCAAGAAAATAATTAGTCTTCTAATTGATCAATTACATAATTGACTGATTAGCTAATTAGTCTAACAAGTAACTAAATAACCAATCATAATTGATCGATCATTCAGCCGCAACTAACTTTATTTATACAGGTAGCTCTATCGGTTTGTCTAATATGTTCTTCTTCGAGATATCTTGTTGATCCAGTCTTATTACAGGAGGAAACTTTTGAAATCTATCAGTTCTAGACTGTTCTACCTAGAGGTCCAATAAGGATCATCTCTTATTCATCTAGTGTTACTACAGAAGGAAACCTAAACTAAACTAACTTTATTTATACTGGATAGCTCTATCAGTTCTAAACTGTTCTTCCTAGAGATCCAGTAAGGATCATCCCTTATTGATCCAGTGTTACTACAGGAGGAAACTAAAAACAAAGCTGACCAATGATTGTGGAATTAAAACTCGGAATCAAATAGATTCAAGCCCTGACCATTTAGTCTCTTACCTATTCTCCAGTAATAAGTATAAACAGGTTTCATTCCAGACTGAGCGAGGAAAGTTGTAAAAGTTGAAAACGAGGCTAGATAAAACCTGGCAAACCCGGAACCCGCCAACGACCGACCAAACACAAAGTTTGGCGAAGTAGTTCCGATAGGGACTTGGTTCTGAGGTGTTTTTATTTTGGTTTGTGAAACCAACTTGCCGTCATTGAAGAGATACAAGCCTTGATTCTCTGACCAGGATATGCCAATGAATATCCAACGATCGCTTAATACTGACATGCCGAGCTGTGAAACAAAGAAATATGTTATTGACCCAGTGTTACTATAGGAGGAAACCTAAACTAAACTTTATTTATACTTGATAACAACCACTGTACCACATAAAAATCTCACAACTTGTCAACAAGATGTGTTCGCAACAGGCTTGTATCAAGTTTGTTAACAAGTTGTAACAATGCTGTTATTTCATCAAGTTGCTACAAGATTGTCACTCACAACTTGTTGACAAATTGTTGAATTGCAGAACGATAACAAGTTGTTGGAACAACTTGCAACAACTCTGCTGAGCTCAACAACTTTGTAGCAAGTTGTAAACAAGTCGTTGACAACTTGTCAACAAGCTGGGAACAAGCAGTGCGAACACATCCTGTTGACAAGTTGTTGGAACAGCATTGCTACAAGTCCGATGCAGGTTTGTTACAACTTGTGTGTTTTTACGTGTCTAGCTGAAGCACTAGAGCGGCAGAGTGAAAATAGGAAACTTTTACACAAACCTTCCACTGTGCTGTCATGGACATGACGACACAAAACAACTGACCACCTTGCAAGTATATAGCGATCCCGCGAGTCCCCTTGCTCAGAACACCAGTATCAACAATATACCGCTCTTCTGGGAACTTAATCAATCCATTGAACTTAATCTTGAAACCAATAGACAAACCATCTTTGCAGTTGGTCGGAGCAATCAGACAGTCTGTACTACGCAAGGTTGTACCTAACCACGAGCTTGAACCGTCGAATATAGTGGCACTGTTCTTGACGACAGTTTTACCATGGACACTGAGGAGGACATCCCCCGGAATGTGGCCATTCAGGATATAGGTAAAGATCCACGAATGTCTGGCTGTCACGGGGGGTGCTGGAAAAATGGAATGAATTTTCTATCACATGACTTCGGCAGCACTTTTATATTGGTGGGATGACAAATGGTGGTCAGCTTCGGAAATTTTAGCACTTACAGGACAAGAAAATGAAACTATATCTCTCGATTCTATTTACTTGCTTGCAAATACAAGATTCATATAATGAGAAGAATGAACATTATTTCCCCTGCACGATAGTGCTTAGTAAAACCCATCTGTCTGAAAAATTTAGAGTTTAATTCAAATTTACCTTCGACAGCAACTGCCCCTTTGTTGTTTTCTAAATTAAAGAAAAAATGTTGTTTAATATCTTGAGATTTATGAGGAAAACTAAAACATTTATTCTGTTGCTTACCAGTTGCAATGGCTCCTCCTTTGAACGCTAGGAAATCAATAAAATTAAAGAGTTTAATACGATGACTAGTAAAAATCTTCAGACACAAACCACGACAGCTTAGTGTAGAATACTCCCTACATTGGATCACCACGTTTGAGATATCTTTTTCAGGTAGTTCATACACAAACCACGGTAGTTTATTGTAGAATACTACCTACACTGGACCACCACGTTTGAGATATCTTTTTCAGCTAGTTCACACACAAACCACGACAACTTAGTGTAGAATACTACCTACACTGGACAAACAACTTTGAGATATCTTTTTCAGGTAGTTCAAACACAAACCATGGTAGTTTATTGTAGAATACTACCTACACTGGACCACCACGTTTGAGATATCTTTTTAGGTAGTTCAGACACAAACCACGACAGCTTAGTGTAGAATACTACCTACACTGGACAAACAACTTTGAGATATCTTTTTCAGAAAGTTCAGATACAAACGACAGCACACTCAAACCTTACCTGTCAGAGTGACAGCAACTGGTGTGGGTTTTCCTTGCTTGGCTGTCACCTCAATCCATTCCTTGCCGTTCAACAAAACCTTCGCTCTACTGGGATCCTCGATCGCTCGGAAAACAACCATCTGTTGACTACTCAGAGTTTTACTCAGAGTTACGATGTATCCTCGTTTAATCTTAAACCCTTGCGGGGGATCGTTATCACTTGAGAACAGGATTATATTACGATCCACTTTGTTGATAATTGTCAACATGATATTCCAAGGAGATGTAAGGATTCCTACGATAAGAAGAATGGAAATAATGAATGAAAATCTCACTGTCCTCTATAGCATTCAATTACCTAATCATTTGATATATCTGTAACGAGCAGGTTTCCTCTTGAAGTAACACTGGATCAATAATGGCCATTGGACCCTGGGAGGAAGAGTTTAGAAGTGATAGCTCGATTTAGTATAACATCATCATAAATGTCTCCAATACCTGTGGCGTCTCCATTTAAAGAAGTACCTATAATTGAAAATATAACAAAGGGGTGTGAATTTAAATACATATTTCGCGACATGCAAGAAAAGTTTGAACATATAGCAAAAATATCTTCACTATAACTTCAACTTACTGATTGGAGAAGGGAAATTCTCCACACCACTTGCTGTTCCAGCTGGAAAATAAAATATCATATTCTTTAACACATGTAAGATTTTGAAAGTCTTTCTTCCTTACACATTTCCTTGCAAAATGCCGCCAAAATTTGTTATACCAATTTTCGTGTGACGTTTGTGTTAACAAAAACGTCGATTGCTTCAGCTCGCTAGTGATTCAGGCGGGTTTTCATAGACTGGAGTTTCATGTCTATAATATGAATTCGGCTGGTAGGACAAAATAGCTGATGAGGTTTTATTTTTTGAAGCATGAGAACTTTGATGAATATTTTATGTAAGGTGAAATAGAAAGATGTTTTTTGCACTTGACTTGGTTGAACTAGCTTGAATGTTGGGTTTGGTGGATAATCCAAGTGATATATTCAATTTAAAACCTAATCAGGAACGGTTGTGAACATTACATGCAACACTACGCCCTCTGGTAGGAATCCAACCTGCGGCCCTTGTGTTAATATATGCTCATTATCCACCAAACCCAGCATTCACTATAACCTACCATCTTTAATCACCACTGTATGTGGTGCTCCTTTAACAGTGGAAGGTGTAATACTGACACCTTTTCTGCCATTCATACTCAGTCTCAACGTTGTTACACTCGCGTCAAATGCTTCAAACATGACCGGGGTTTGGTTGGGTACATCCTTGGTTAGTTGCGCCACTCCGTTGACCGGGATAACCTGGTCAGCCGGTTGGTTGTCCGAGGATTTCAGGATGATCGGCTTGCCGTACTTGTTGTAGATGTTTGCGGCAAGATAGTACATAGAACGAGGAATCACGGCTAGAAATAAGGATTGGTTAGTATCGCTGTTCTTCCTAGAAGTCCAATAACGATCATCTTTTAGTGTTACTACAGGAGGAAACCTAAACTCACTTTATTTATACTGGATAGTTCTATCAGTTATAATCTGTTCTTCCTAGAGGTCCAGTAAGGATCATCTCTTATTGATCCAGTGTTACTACATGAGGAAAGAAATCTAAACTAAACTAACTTTATTTATACTGGATAGCTCTATCAGTTCTAAACTGTTCTTCCTAGAGGTCCAGTAAGGATCATCTCTTATTGATCCAGTGTTACTACAGGAGGAAACCTAAACTAAACTAACTTTATTTATACTGGATAGCTCTATCAGTTCTAAACTGTTCTTCCTAGAGGTCCAGTAAGGATCATCTCTTATTGATCCAGTGTTACTACAGGAGGAAACCTAAACTAACTTCATTTACACTGGATAACTCTATAAATTCTGAACTGTTGAATTTCTAACCTTGATCACTGAATCTGTAGACATAAAGAGCGTTTGCTTTGCCAACGCCATAACTACATTGTAAAGACTTCCCGTCCTTGGCGTAACTAGAGTCCCCACTTGGTCCACTCCAACACTGACCAAACTTCTGCACACCAAAATATTTATAATTCTTCTTCTTGGCCAATAAGGCACATTTCATGATGGTGTTATTGAAACTGGACCAATCAGTTGGTGATGCGTGGAAATTTTGTAACATTTCAGGCAGTGGTCTCGGGTTTTGCCTGTCGTTATAGCAACCCACTGGTTGAAACAGCCTTGTTCCTAAAAAGAGACAAAAATGTCAATGTTCTCCTTAGAGGTCCAGTAGTAGATCACACAAAGTGTGGTTGCCCTACGTCCCAGAATGATTTCTATTTTACTACAATGAAATCATAATTTACCATCAATTCCAGATTTAGTTGAAACAACGACAGTCGAGACTTGCTCATCAAACTGTGATGGGGTGACTCGAAGTTCGGGTAAATCATTGACATACAACGGCTTTTTCGTAAGCGGATCTTCAGCATGAACTGTAATAGCTGTAGGACTGTTAGTCTTTTTCTTAATCATTGCTATCACTTTGCTTTTAATGAGAAAACCATTTGGTGGTACGTTGTCGCTAAACTTTATTTCAACAGCACCGGCGAATTTGTTGAGAACTTTTAAATTGGCGAAGTACAGTTTACTTGGCTGAACAAGCACTAAAAGATACACAAGGACATTAAAAATAACATAGGCAATATATTTGCCACTTTTTGCTTCCCACACAAGTAAAAATCTCACAACTTGTCAACAAGATGTGTTCGCAACAGGCTAACAAGTTGTAACAATGCTGTTGCTATTGTTGAATTCCAGGACGATAATAAGTTGTTGGAACAACTTGTAAAAAGTCTGTTGAGCTAAACAACCTTGTAGAAAGTTATCAACAAGCTGGGAACAAGCAGTGCGAACACATCCTGTTGACAAGTTGTTGGAACAGCATTGCTACAAGTCTGCTGCGGGTTTGTTTGTGTTTTCACGTGTGTAGCCCATTGAAGGCCCACAGGTGCGACAATTCAACCCAACTTACCATTAATTCGATAGTATGAGTAAATAGGATATAATAGAGAGTCTGATAAAAATTCCTTGAACACCACCAAAGAGGCAAGGTAAAATTTGGTAAAATAGAAACCAGCTCCACCAACGTTTCTACCAAGACAGAAATTTGGGGTTCTTGTTGAAGGTTGTAGTCCAATTACAGGGCTGCCTTTTGGATCAGAGGATTTGGGGAAGCCGTCTAAAGCAATGAAGAGTCCAGAGGTAGGTTTCCAGTTCACGATAATGTAGAGCCATTTGTCGTAGATTAAGTTGATTTCTGCCTGTGGATTTAGACATATGTAGAGTCAGTAATGATGGAGAGAGGAAGGGAAAAAATCTCAGTTCATCTTTCCTCCTGTAGTAACACCGGATCAATAATAAATGGACTTCTAGGGAAACAGTTTAAAACTTAGAGAGCCACGCCGTATAAATAAAGTGAGTTTAGTTCAGGTTTCCGCCTACAGTATCACTGGATCAATAAGAGATGATCCTTACTGGACCTCTAGGAAGAAGAGTAGAGAATCTAGAGCGCTATCCAGTATAAATAAAGTTAGTTTAGTTCAGGTTTCCTCCTGTAGTAACACTGGATCAATAAGAGATGATCATTACTGGACCTGTAGGAAGAACAGTTCAGAACTGATAGAGCTATCCAGTATAAATAAAGTTAGTTTAGTTTTGGGTTCCTCCTGTAGTAACACTGGATCAATAAGAGATGATCCTTACTGGACCTCTAGGAAGAACAGTTTATAACTGATAGAGCTATCCAGTATAGATAAAGTTAGTTTAATTTAGGTTTCTTCCTGCTGTAACACTGGAACAATATCCCCTACAGAGAATAGTTTAGAACCAAAAGAGCTACAGTATTCAATCTACATAAAGTTAGTGAAGACAACGATCCTGTACCTTCCACTTCATGTTCGACGTGGCAATCTCTGCAATCATCTTTCCATTGAGAACATAAAGTGAAACTCCTGTTTTTCCACCGCTTGTTGCCTCGGTATCTAGAACATATCTTGGCGTGTCGTATTCCTTTGCAGTTCCATCAAATCTCAGCTTAATTCCAAAAGCCAATCCCTCTTTTGCCATGTCTGGGTTTGACAGGATGTTGGTAGGAACAAGGTGAGTGCTGAGGAATGCCGTGATACCATCAAAGTATAGACCTCCATCAACTACCTCGACATGGCCGTTGACAATGAAGGGAAGATGACCTGGGATCTTGCCGTTGATGATTGTTAGGAAAGACCAGAAGTAGTAGGGCTCCATCTGAGGTTGACCTGAAATAAATAGAGTTCACTGGAAATAAAACACAGAGTTCGCACATGTGAGGAAGAGTCAAATTCAAGGACTTTTCAAGGACATTCAAGGCCATGTATCAGCAAATTCAAGGACTAAATTTTTAAAACTTTAATGGACAGTTATGGACATGCAAAATCAATTCAACAAAATGTCCGTTTGAATGTCAAACAAAATTTCACAAAATATCCAAAAACAAGAAACATTTAAGGACTTTTAAAGACTTCTTAACAAATTCAAAGATATTCAAGGCCTCGAATTTTTGTTTTCAAATTCAAGGACATTCAAGGACTTTCAAGTTTTGTACGAGCACTGAACACAAGTCATTTTATCTCCCGTTCGCAATCTTCCTTAATTTTCTTCCAAAGAAACCCTTTTTCTCAGAATGTCAGACTCTTTAAGTTGTAAACTCAGTTCTAAATAAATTTTCCATACCTGTATCCTCGTCGCCCGATTCTACAAAATGAAAATAAACCATATTGAAACCACTTTTCAAATGAAAAATTCCGATGATTGGATCATGATTTGATGGCATTGTTCTACGTTAAAGGGTCCATCAGATGCTCTGTTCAAAGATTATTACTCCTACCTGAAGTTACAGTCAAGCTCTCGATGTGATCTTTACTAATGGTGGGAACCAAGGATACATTGGTCTGTTCATTAATAAGCAATTCTCCATCACTCTCTGCGTCAATTGCTGTGAATATGATTGGCTGTTTAGCTCGAACAGTCTTGGTGATCAGTGAAATAGTTTTAGGACCGAGTGCAAAGCCTTGGGCTGGTTCATTGTCGTCTGGAATGAGGACAATTTTCCGCGGCGTCTTATTGATAACTTGAATCACCACATAATACGAAGAAGCGGAGATTTCTCCGGCTGAAATATAGTACAATTGATTCATTACTTATAAAAATTTATTCATTTATTAAAATTTTTTACCAAGAGATGGTATAAGGAGAACAGTTTAGAACTGATAAAGCTATCCAGTATAAAGTTAGTTTTGTTTAGGTTTCCTCCTGTAGTAATACTGGATCAATAAGAGATGATTCTTACTGGACCTCTAGGGACAACAGTTCAGAACTGACAGATCTATCCAGTATAAAGAAAGTTAGGTTATTCAGCAACAAAAACTAAAGAGCCAAGATATACCTGATCTTGTGACAGTCAAAGGTTCAGGGGTGTCTGCGACTAACTTGGGTACAATGCCGATACTTTTAGCGCCGTTGATATAAAACGTTTCTTTGGTCTTCGCATCCAGGACAGTAAAAGTGACGGCAGATGATTGTTGGGTTTTCAGTTTAATGAGAACAATCACGTTGTTCTTTACAAGCAAGCCTTCCTTCGGCGCTAGGCCTTGTGGGAATAAGATGACATCAGTTCGAGCAAGGTTTGTCACTTGTAACACAATATGATACGTCTGTACCACGGGAACTGCAAAACAACAAAGATAACATTAGTATCCCTACAACACAGTGGTGGATTTATCGGGGGGGGAGGGGGAATTGCACATGGGGGTAACGTTGGCCTTGATGAAGAGGGGTGCAAGGGGGGGGGGTGCACCAAATTTACCTACTCTTACCGTTTTCTCTTTCACACAAGCGCAGTATCAAGAGAATCGGGAATATATATTTTATATAATTATAAGTATTCAACATATCTGTAAATTGCAACCAAGAGACCATACCCGTGGTTTCAAAATTTTTCACGCATTTTTAAAAACGTTGAAAAAATCACTATCAGCCTGCTCCGGATAATCAGTCATGAAATCAAACGATAAATCACTCATATACAAAAAAGCACATACCCGTTAACGACACAGGCAGTCCCTTCATCTCTGTAGGTTTAACACTGAACGACTGTCTACCATTTACCCACAGCGCTTTTTTCGAACTCGCATCGAAGGCTTGGAACAATACTTGTTTGGGATTTGTCGTTTTCTTTGTGATTTCGGCGATTACGTTTGATTTAATGTTAAAACCTTTAGATGGGACATTATCGCTTGCTTTTAATAAAATATTTGTTTTAGCCAAGTTGGTAACACGTAAATTTGTGAAGTAAAGCTTTTGTGGAATGGATTCTAGAAAAATTAAAATGAGTAGCATTAAAAACAGCACTTAAATACAAACAAACAAACAAACAAACAAACAAACAAACAAACAAACAAACAAACAAACAAACAAACAAACGAACAAACGAACAAACGAACAAACGAACAAACAAACAAACAAACAAACAAACAAACAAACAAACAAACAAACAAACAAACAAACAAACAAACAAACAAACAAACAAACAAACAAACAAACAAACAAACAAACAAACAAACAAACAAACAAACAAACAAACAAACAAACAAAACAAACAAACAAACGAGGCAAAGCTACAATTGCAGTTTAAAAATAAATATAAAAGCTCAGCAACGTGTCTCAAACAAGACATAATAAGAAAAAATCATGAAGAAACAGAAACATTACCTGTAATAGTCAAAGATAGAGGTTGTTTTACAATCTTTCCCGGGATGAGAGTTATACCAGCTTTTGTGTTAAGAAGCAGAAGATTATTTCCACTCTTCACTTGGAAAGTGACAGGAGCTCTACTCAATGTTTTCTTTTTTATTTCCACGATACGTCGAGAGCCTATCGGGGAGCCTTTCTGAGGGACTCCATCACTAGAGAAGAAGACGACATCTTTCTTCGCCAGGTTTGTGATACGGAAATAGAAACTGTAGAGTTGACAAGCTTGGCCACCTAGGATGGAGAAACCATTCAATTTACATATTACTGAAGATGCTCGTAGCTTCTAGTTGGACCCTACCAAACACCACAGGTTACCTCTTGTAATAACACTAGTCTAGATCAATAAGGGATGATCCCTGCGCCTATATATTTGCTGTATACTGATCCTTCTAGGAGAATAGTTTATAACAGACAATTCAACTTGTTAAATATCCTTCATACTTACTCTTCTCGCATCTTAAACCGCAGTATCCTTTCCTACAACGACAAAGATTCTTGAAAGGATCGATACACACGCCCTGGTTCAAACATGCTTTTTTACAAATTGCTAAAGAAAAAATGAAAATGATTGAAACAACAATGTTTAATGTTCGTCGGATCCTCAATTTTGTAAAAAATTGAAAATGACCATCAACTTGTCACAACTATTTGGCCATTTCAAAATTAAATAAAAGAAACAAAATTTTACCTTTTTCACAAGATTTTCCCTGGTACATTTCCGTACACTGGCATTGTTTTCCAATACACTGGCCTCCATTTTGGCATGTCGGTTCACATTGACCTGGAAAAGGATTTTACGAGAAAATGTTTAATCTTGGTAATTGTACAAAACTCAAATTCTATCAGTTCTAAACTGTTCTTCATAGACGTAGTAAGAGCCTTTGGAACTACAGGAGGGAACCGGACCACTCGAGAACATTTGCGGTGCATTTCTGGTACAGGTGACTTATAATGAACCAAATGTATTTCGCCAGAATGGAACTCTGACTAGTGACAGAAGTCACATGCGCTCACGACAGTGTCAGCAATGATTGGAAATAGCTATACACGGTACGCGAGGAGAAAAACCAGAACGGCAACTGGATTCCTGTCTTACCTTCACACTGCTCGATATTACAAGCCTCGGATTCCATTTCTGAACCAAGCTGTTGATCAAAACATGTTTTACCCTCATTTGCAGGCGCAGGATTGTTACATTTTCGATTCCGCATTCGAGATCCTCCGCCACACGTCGCTGTACACGCAGACCACGAACTCCAATCACTGTAACCACCATTAACTGAAGAAAATAGAAATTGTGAGATATAGAAATTGTGAAACAGAGTGGAAAGGACGAAATACAGCAGGTAAATAATTGGGTATGGTGTAATGTGCATTGGCGTTGCCTTAGTATGTATACACCAACTCAACGACTGGACTCTGTAGCTCAGTTAGAGCTCGACAACTGTCTCTCTGTAGCTCAGTTGGTTAGAGCTTGACAACTATCTCTCTGTAGCTCAGTTGATTAGAGCTCGACAACTGTCTCTCTGTAGCTCAGTTGGTTAGAGCTCGACAACTGTCTCTCTGTAGCTCAGTTGGTTAGAGCTTGACAACTGTCTCTCTGTAGCTCAGTTGGTTAGAGCTCGACAAC